GGCCGGCGGCCGCCGTCAGGTGCATCGCATAGCAGGAGTCCTTGCCGCCGCTGACGAGGCCGATGAAGCGCATGCTGAGGGCAGAGGGCATCGAAGAGAAGGAAGAGAAGGAGATAACTGATTCCGATTGAAGATCTAAAGAAGAGGGAGAATTAGAAATAGAACTCTTTCAAGGAGGAAAACCTAAAACCCACCGACTTTGTTTTGGTCGCTGAAATCGGCCTCGTGGTTTTTCCTCACTTGTCCAGCAGAGCAGCGGCGGCATCTCCCGGCGACACACATTAATGTACGGTGGAATGTGCAAGTGTGCACTTGCTTGCTTGTTTTCTGTCTTGCGATTGCATCATCAGCTGTTGCGTTTCGTCAGCTGTTGTTTTGGGTATTCTCTCTTCTCTTCAGCACACCAGAACACACACCAGAAGGGGACATTGAACTTTGAGAAGTGGCCAGAAAAGATGGCCATCACACTTTCTTCTCTGCGGTCTCAAAAGGACCACCAACCTCAGCACAACTGTTCTTCAGCAGCAGCAGCAGTTCAACGGTGAGTCATCATCACCAGTGTCCTTCTGCTATGGATTCACCACCACCACCTGAAGTCGATCAAGATTGCCTCGAGGCAGCTCAGCAGTGCTGCACAGAGGAGGATGACACTCACAGCACAGACAGACAGACCGCTGCCGCTGTGATTCACAATCAACCGCGATGATGATGATGGTCATGACGGCGGTGACTATCTTCGGCAGCTACTGCTGCACGCGTCGCCTTCTCCTCTCCTTATCTTATCAGAAGATGGCACAGTGATGCACTCCTCCTGTTGTCACTGAGGTGCACCCCCTCCCCACCACCACTGCTCAATGAGGTGTCTCAAGCTCAAGCTAGTGCCTGTCTGTCTGAGTTGTACAAATTTGCTCAAATCTATTCACCTCTTTTCACGGTTGCCCGCTCTGACCGCTCTCTCTCTCTTCATTTTCTCTCACCATCTCAATCATCGCCGAAGACGACGACCACAACCACCACTGGCGCATCTGCTCCGCCTTTTCACTTCTTAGAAAGCGAGGAAGAGACAGTGAGTAGCCAACGTAAGCATCACGTTCAAAAGTTGGTGCCGCGGCGGCTGCACAGCACACGGTCACTGCTCTTCACAGTCATCACCACCACCACCACTTTACTGTACGCTGTAGAATCGTACGCCTGCGGTGGTGACTGATTTTCGACCGAGTGTCTGGAAAGAGATAAGTCGCTGCTGTTGCTGCTGCTGCCTTCCTGACCACTTGGGGTTCTACTGTTGCCCCGCAACGCACACAGCCTCTTACCACCACGACCACCACCACCTCAGAGGCAGAGGCACAAAGCGCACAAGTGCTCTACAAAAGTCATCATCGCTCCTGCTCTCCCCACGACGACATATCCTCAAGTGCCACCACCACTACCGCATCATCATCCCACTCTGGGCGATCCAATAGGCGACACAGCTACCAGCACTGCTGCTGTTGCAACCAGGCAGCGTCCATCGCAACACCGTCGCTGCTTTCCTAATCTCGCCTTCTCTCCCGCTCGCTACCACTGTCAACCAGTGTGTTCCTCCTCTCCGTCTTCCTTTCCAATCTTCCCTACCTTCAATCATCATCAGCATCATCTGCAGCAGCACATTTCCAGCCCAGGCTCGCTCTTTCTCTCTCTCTCTCTCTCTCTCTGCAGTTCAATCACTCACCTTTTGCACTTCTTCTGCTCAACGCACGCAGCTCGTACGCACAGCTCAATAACATCGCCATCGCCACCACTTGATCTAATTAATTCGCCATCAGGTGATCATCAGCATCATCATCATCATCATCGGTGGCAATCAATTCCACCTCTGATTGAACTTGGGCTTCTTCATCATCTTCCCCCTCCTGTGCCCTCGAACTGTGCAGCTCAAAGAAGAAGAAGAAGCAGTCGTCGCAAAGAAGATACTCATCAAGGGAGCATGCTGCTGCCGTTGTTGTTGTTCAACACTGCTGCCGCTGTCAGCTGCTAAAGTGAAGTGATTCAGCGCTAATTGCCATCACTTTAGTCCCCACTGCTACCACCACCACCATCACTTTAGTCTTGCTGGCTCCTCACGTCCCCACCGCCGTCCATCACGCCTGGCATTGTCAAGTGCAGCTCACAGGCTGTGTGTTCCGTGCCGTACTGATAACCACCGCTCAGGCGACACTCCTTGAATGTTGCAAGACAAGGATTGAGCAGCACCAACAGAAGCAGCCGTACAAAAGGCCAGTCAGCATTCTGTACACAAGCACAGACGGACAGCTCACTACTTCGAACATCATCTTTATTGCTATTTTGTTTATCACCATCACCACCACCACATCATCATCATTAGACGAATTTTATCATCATTAGACTGAAGCTATATTTTTATCAATCAATCACCCAAAACGATGACGCCTGTGACGGCGACCAGAGAAGAAGTGCTGCGACTTTGTTGGTCGTCACAGCTGGTGCAGCACCGACGACCACTGCTGCTGCTGATGTTGCTTTTGCTGTTGATCTCCTCACTGGCCAGCAGCGCAACGGCGCAAAGAATGCCGCCAAAGAATTCCTCAGGTAATGTTGTGTGTACACACTTGANGACTGAAGCTATATTTTTATCAATCAATCACCCAAAACGATGACGCCTGTGACGGCGACCAGAGAAGAAGTGCTGCGACTTTGTTGGTCGTCACAGCTGGTGCAGCACCGACGACCACTGCTGCTGCTGATGTTGCTTTTGCTGTTGATCTCCTCACTGGCCAGCAGCGCAACGGCGCAAAGAATGCCGCCAAAGAATTCCTCAGGTAATGTTGTGTGTACACACTTGTTTGCAACCACTACCTGTGTCACCTCTTTTCCTCGTACAACTATTTCTAATATTAGCCACTCTTGAGCCACTGTCCTCGAAAGCTAGCGATTACCAACACTATCCAGGATTCATTGTGTCAGGTTTCACTGACTGTGACACTCGAACNACTGCAACCACCACCACTACCTGTGTCACCTCTTTTCCTCGTACAACTATTTCCAGTATTAGCCACTTTTGAGCTACTGTCCTCGAAAGCTAGCGATTACCAGCACTATCCAGGATTCATTGTGTCAGGTTTCACTGACTGTGACACTCGAACACACACAGCTCCTCATGCTGTCTGTGGTGATACAAATGCAGAGATGTGTGATAGAGGCAGCTGCCTTGTTTAGTTTACGATAACCACATTGCTGCTGATGGTACACATTATTAGGNCACACACAGCTCCTCATGCTGTCTGTGGTGATACAAATGCAGAGATGTGTGATAGAGGCAGCTGCCTTGTTTAGTTTACGATAACCACATTGCTGCTGATGGTACACATTATTAGGGGTGAATGATGCACTGTGTACACAACACATGTGTCAACTGGCTGATTGCAGCAACAGCTAATTACGAGTATTGCGCGTGCCGCAGTTAAATGCGCGCTCCATTGCTCCTTTCCACTGCTATCTTTTGATACCCTATGATTAGGAGGAGAAGGACTATCAGAC